TGATGAAATTGACTGAATTTGTAACCTGACACTTTGTTTCATAACAAAAGTACAAAGCACGAAGCTGATTGCTGTTATTAGTGCTACAAGTAATGTTTAGTGAAGTTTTGTTCATGCATCAACAGAAAACAGCACAGACTGAATGAAGTCTGTGAAGATGAATTAAAATCAGTTTGGCAACTCAGTCCTAATAATACAAATAAAATAAAAAAAGAGCAATACCTACAAAACCTGGATTAATGTATAATGTTTATTGAAGATTTTCGTAGAAACCTCTAACCTTGACCCTCTTCTCTGCTAGTGAACTCACTCAGATTATTGCAGACGTGGCTCAAGATCCAACACTACCTCGGACTGAGGACCACCCTTGCCCAAAGTGAGAGTTAAATATGTTTCTTGGTGTAGATGTATGTTAAAAATGATGTTATTGTAATTCCCATTCATTCTTATAATGGGCCATTTTATAGTGAATGTGTTTTTTTTAGGTGTGGCCACAAGGAGGGGGTGTTCTTCCAGTCTCACAGCATGAAGGCTGAGGTAATGATTCGCACAATCACTGTTTGCCTGGTTGTTCAACAGTTTCAGATCCGTGTCTCTTGAAAACTGCAATAAAGAATTACATTTAAAACAGTTTACACTCAGAACTTGCTTGTAAAGTTCACAAATACTTACAAAGAGATGGCACGCTGAATTAAACAGACAATTTTGATGTAGACACACTGAAGTAGTATTTTCTTGTAAAATGTACTCCAGAAATCTTTATTGACAATTTCAAAAAATATATTTTTTACAGTGTGTTTGTTGAACAGTGTTTGCTTGATTACAGCAAAATCATAAATGCTATCTAGGATCAAATTGAACTTTGACATGTTTTGATTTTCTGAATGCAGGATGCCATGAGGCTTTACTATGTATGTACTGCCCCACACTGTGGCCACAGATGGACAGAATGAGGAGGATAAAGCCACGAATGATATAAGATGAGGCGTTCTGAGGTCATGCATCACTCTAGTTCCATTCCAGAACATTATTTCTCAGTTTAGGGGACGTCTGTTGTGGAGTGAACGTATCTTACTGGTGACCCAACTGTAGGTCACTGATGCATTTGTGAATAAACTGGTGTATAATTTTAGTTGTGAATTTAAGTGCACAAACACCAGCAACTCGTCCTTTGACCCGAAGTGTTTATAGTTTTTCATTTTAATTCTACACAGTGCATTTTTTGAAGGTTTGTAATAAAATATTACAAAAAATAAGTTGAGTTTTCATTTTGAAAAGTTAGGCAATAGTTTTTTTGAGTTTGGATTCTGGGTACAGTTTTTATTCAGTGGTGGCTTGGAGTAGGGCTGCACAGTTAACTGATTAAAATAGTGCTGTCAAACGATTAATCGCATCCAAAATAAAAGT